AATTAAGCAATTTAACAATTTGAAAACACAATAATAATAAATTAAGGTGAAATATCCTGAAGTGTATAATAATTCGAAACCATCGTTGTCTAGACTAATCCCAGAAACCGGTGTCACAAGAACATGAGCTATTAGAAAACTACATATAAAGTCTGAAATGAAATACAAAATTGTCTGATACAAAGTAAACAACAATAAAGATCGGAAGAAGACTTCAAGGTTTGTGAACGTCGTGTAACACTACATCAAGTCTCCTGGGAGGACGGGTACAAGAGCAATCACCGTTGTACGCTGCTGGGACCAACAATGGGATCTACAAAAGAAGTGCACAAGTGTAGTATGAGTACAATCGGCCCCATGTATTCAGTAAGTATCAAGCCTAACCTCGATGAATAAGTGACGAGACTATGGCAAGATACTCACTATAAATATGTACGAGTAATAAGTATAGAAGCAATAATGAGATAGATAAATGACTAACTACATAATAAATGGAACGAGAAAGTAAATGACAGAGGGCCCAAGAATATCATCAATTCACAACCTTACAACACAACATGGAAGTGGAAACTAACAACCAAGAATAACCACAATACATTCTCTCTGTTGCGGTGCGCAACCCGATCTATATATCTATACCAATAGCATTGCAAAGTGCAACCCAATCCACGCACGCACACACACATACACACACACACACTCGTGAGACCTTTGCAACCTAGGCCTCTAATACAAACTTGTCACGACCGAAAATCCCAACTACGGGGCTGTGATGACGGCTATCATCCGCTTTCTAGGCAATCCAATATTAGCTAAACAATTAAGCAATTTAACAATTTGAAAATACAATAATAATAAATTAAGGTGAAATATCCTGAAATGTATAATAATTCGAAACCATCGTTGTCTAGACTAATCCCAGAAACTGGTGTCACAAGAACATGAGCTATTAGAAAACTACATATAAAGTCTGAAATGAAATACAAGATTGTCTGATACAAAGTAAACAACAATAAAGATCGGAAAAAGACTTCAAGGTCTGTGAACGTCGTGTAACACTACATCAAGTCTCCTGGGAGGACGGGTACAAGAGCAATCACCGTTGTACGCTGCTGGGACCAATAATGGGATCTACAAAAGAAGTGCACAAGTGTAGTATGAGTACAATCGGCCCCATGTACTCAGTAAGTATCAAGCCTAACCTCGATGAATAAGTGATGAGACTATGGCAAGATACTCACTATAAATATGTACGAGTAATAAGTATAGAAGCAATAATGAGATAGATAAATGACTAACTACATAATAAATGGAACGACAAAGTAATTGTCAGAGGGCCCCACACACACACACACACACACACATATATATATATATATATATATATATATATATATATATATATATATATATATATATATATATATATATACATGTTATTAGATATAACGTAACATAAAAATAAAACTAAAGCGTATAAATTCTCTAAGACAATTCAATATAACAAGGTAAAGTGAAATAGGAAGCAAGTAAAGGCATGAGACAGGTGAAAGCATATATCTAATAACATGTAAGGGCATATAACAAGTAAAGGCAGAAAATAACTAAAGGTATGAATAATTAGAAGCATGTAGCATATGGAGACATGTAACAAATGAAGGCATGTATTAATCAAGTGAAGACATGTAACAAGTAAATCATGTAACAAGTAAAAATATGGAATAAATAAAGACATGATATAACTAAAGACATGCAATCAAGTAGTACACCCCACATACTTAAACCCATGATGACGCATATACATCGTCACCTTGCATATACATCATCCCCACACATAAATCACGTAAAAAAATAGACCAATCAAGTCCTAATTCCCTCAAATCAAGGTTAACCACGACACTTATCTCTTTTCAGAACAATGTCAACAATCCAACGTGGCTTTTCTTTTAGAACAAGCCTCCAAACAACCCGAATCTAGTTAATTATTGTTCAAACAAGTTAAAACAAGCTTTAAACTATCCCATTACGATAAAGCTTCAATTTTTACCATAATTGAAAAAGTCAACAAAAAGTCAACCTGGAGCACGTGGTTATCCGAAATTAAGATCAAATCCTGATAATCGATTCATCCTGGAGTCCGGATATGTAATTTTTTTCGAAATCCAACCCAATTTGATGTCTAAATCTCATTTTTACAACATCCCTAACATCTATCCAGAACCCCAATTTTTAGTCTATGAAATCCTAGATTTGATGATGAAATTCATGAAAAAGTAATCAAAATTGAATGAATACAAGTTAAGATTACTAACCTATTAAGTTTGGAAGAAATTGCTTTCCAAAAATCGCCTCTATGGAGTTTAAATTTCAAAAATAGTAAAAAATGAGCTACGTCCCAAAATCCCCACATTTTATCCAGCTGCAGGTATCGCAAATTGCGAAGCCTTGTTCGCAATTGCGGTGTCCGCAAATGCAAATAGCTGGTCACAATTTGATCCATCTCCTAAGCCACAGATGTCGCAAATGCGAAGTTCCCTTTCCGCAAAAGCAATCCCAGCTTCGCAAGCTGTCCTCAATTACCCAGCGTTGCAAATGCAACACACACACCGCAAATGCGATACCCCAGTTCGCAAATGCGAAGGTCCTATCCCCCTTCCCAGTCATTGCAAATGCGAGCCTAACTTAGCAAAAGCGAAGCTCGCATTTGTGAACAGTTCATCGTAAATGCGAGACTTGTAGGCCATACACACCAGCAGTTGCCTTCAGCTGCCAAAACCATCCGAAACTCACCCGCGCCCCTCAGGCTCCAGTCCAAACATCCACAAAAGTTTAATAACATTATACAAACTCGCTCGCAAACTCAAATCATCAAAATAATATCAAAATCAAGAATCGATCATTAAAACTCAAGATTTTCAACTTCAAACTCATTTTTTCCAGCTTTCCACACAACGCGCCGAAATGGCCTAGGGTCACCCAGAACCCCCACCAAATATTTGTCCAAGTCCAAAATTATCATACGAACCTACCGATATTATGAAAATACTGATCCGAGGTTGTTTATCAAAACATTGAGTGTGGTAAACTCTAGTCATTTTTAAAGTTAAAAAATCATATTTTCTTTGAATTTCACATATAAACTATTTGAAAATCGATATGAACCATGCACGCAAGTCATAAATCATCAAATTAATCTAAGAAAAGTCTCGAAATACAAGTATGAGAGTTAATACTTAAAATAACATATCTGTTCGTTACAATAAAATAGGGGTTGCACTCTTTTTTCCTTAGCAAGATTCTGTTTTACTGAATTTTTCCACGAAGATTTTCATTGAGATAGTTACCAATATGTGTTACTAGATATGTGTACCCTTTTTCATTGACGGAGATTTTTCTCCCACTGGATTTTTTTCTTAATAAGGTGTTAATGAGCCCATTAATCTATCAAAGCATGAACATCCAAGGGGAAGTATTATGAAATAATAGCGCAGATGTCTGTGTGCATAGACTACTCTAGTAATATAATACTCGCTACTATTTTATGTTATGTCTATAACTCACTCTACTTTACTACTTATGTTTGTAACTTTTACTACTTATTCATGATCTCAATGCTTAACACCATGCATATTCATGGCATTTCTTTGTATTACCTCAATGGAATCCTACAAATAAAGAATTTTGGAGTCATATTGTATATACTTGAAAATATTTGGGAGAAAAAAAAAACTCGCCCTGTGTACTCATTCCATTGGAAGGGAATTGAGAGTAGGCACAAGCATGGAACAAAGTCTCACTTTCAGGGCACTAAGGAGTGTCATTACTGCAGGGACTTGGTATCACAAGTCTGTACTTTACATTAGCTGTTATAGTGCCCCAAGATCTAGTTTGAAGACCTGTAGCCTTTTACCTCAAAGAGGCACACAAAAATGGATTTGCAACATTGGACTGTCCAAAAAATTCTGCAAGGCAACAAGGACAGGTACTGTAATTTTCTTAACAAAAATGGGATCAAGGGAGGTGTTGTGGGGTAAAATCCAATCACAATTCCTTAGTTCAATATCCCAGAAATGGTTTGACACAGAAATAATAACAGTAGAATATGCCTGGAGATCACACGACAACCTCATTATAACAAGCATGTTAGCACAAGTGTTCAGTTTCAAATGGTCGAGGCAGTGCTTTTTAGTTGATTTTGTGGAAGAATTTAGTAGTGCCAAATGGAGGAGCTCGGCAATTTCATCAAGTAGGATACACAAGGAATACATGTTGGGCAAAACTACACATTTTCAGACAAGGATTAAGCCCGAAATATGGATACCAAAATGCACAATCATCAGGTGCAACTGCTGCTGGATGCAGTAAATAGCCACTTTTTGGCATTTCCTTTTGCAACTTTAAAGGAATGCAAATCTTATATGCAAAAGAGACTATCACATGCATTGGAGTCGAAATTCACACATATGGAGCTGTACATTTTGATGTGCCACCTTGGCAATCAAATGTGCGCAATTGTTGATAGTGGCTATGTTTGCAATAGGTAAGTTTTTATACATATTTTAGACGTTTTATTGCATATTCTTATTAGATTATTTTGTAATATCTGTTTTGGGTATAACAAACCCAAAATTGATAATAAGACATATGCAGTAAACATCTCTTATGGTCTTAGGCTAGGCACCTCGCCTTGTGGATATGCTTTAAAAAAAAATCTTGCTTTCATATTTGATATTATTACTTTTTAGCTTAATTTCTTAACATGATTGAAGGAAAAATTAGCAATTCTTGGAACAAATTTTTAGCAAAAGAACATGTTAAAGGGATGGGAGAAAGTAATGATTATTAGTTCGGAGAAATTTAATGGAAACCATCAGAATCAAGGGGATCTTTTATCTAAAATTTAATTTGTCCATGAATTTTGAGTTCCCGGAGCCAAAAAAAGGACCAACAGATAAATGGCTGCGTGGCAGGCACCTGGCAGCTGACCCTTATACAAGCCCAAAACACACACAAAAAAAAAAATGGAGAAAGAGTCTGAATATTGTAGGGAAAAATGGGCGCCTTGAAAGCAGTGGCTGTCATCTCTGGTACCAATAGCGTCAAAGGCTCCTTACAGTTCATCCAACAACCCAACGGTAAATCCCCACTTTTGTCCTCCATATCTTCTTATTATGCGTACCAATCAATGTTTCTTTTTCTTCTTCTCTGTTGTTGTAACTTGTAATCATGGATTTGGGTATACAATACAGGCGCTACCCATGTGAGCGGAAGAATAACTGGTCTCGCTCCTGGTCTTCACGGTTTCCATATTCATGCTTTGGGCGATACCACCAATGGCTGCAATTCCACTGGTCAAAAGCTACATCCTTTGGTCTACTTCTTTTTTTCTGCTTTCTTTTTCCCCCTTTTTGTGTAGTTCAAGATGCTTGCTTTTTCTTGTAATACTTCAAGATTTGGGGGTTTCTGTTCAGCTGTTTTTATTGTTATTTGATGGTGCAATTTCTTTTGGGGGTTGTGGGGGTGATTGACTTCTGTACTGTTTTGTGTACTGATAGTGTAATAATACCATTAGTATAATTTAAACTATTATAACAGGTTGCTACCAATTAATTAAAGATTACCCTTCAATGCTGTTACAGTGAGTTACCTGCAATTAACTACTTTATTACCTGATTGTGTAAAATACTTTTTACATCGTCAATGCACACAACTTAAAACTCGTTGGTGTTTAGGACCTCATTTTAATCCACTTAAGAAGGATCATGGAGCTCCCACTGATGATGTGCGTCATGCGGGCGATTTAGGCAACATTGTTGCTGGTCCTGATGGTTAGTTTTATTATTGTTCATGCACAATTCATATTTTTCAACTTCCAAGTTGAGCTCTAGTTAGATCGTTCCCTTGAGAGAATTATGATTTTTTTCTCACTTTTTTTTTTCTCTCAAGGGGTGGCCGAGATATCAATTTCAGATATGCTGGTACTACTATTGGATTTTTTTTTTTGAAGTTCTGTAGTTGGCTGAAAATTGCCTGACAATACTAATGCCAACTTTTCTTTTTTGTAATTAGATTCCACTTAGTGGAGTACACTCCATCTTGGGGAGAGCAGTAGTTGTGCATGCTGATCCTGATGATCTGGGAAGAGGTATGGTTCTTGGTCCAACATATTTTGTGTTTTTCGAGTAATGTCTGATGGAAGTCCATTCAAGATGTTGCACAGAGTCCATTACAATTTTCCTTTCAGCTTGCTGTATAAGCTGCTTTGCAGACCTTATGCACCCTTTATTGTGGCTTCAAGATAATGTACAGTACAAGTTACCACGGTGATAATTCTTGATGTTCTGTTTTATGGGAATTAAGTTGAGGTTTTGTGCAAAATTGTATTATTGACATCTTAATCAAGTAAACTATCTTCAAGTAAGGATTAAGTAGCTTGTTTGAGGCAAAGCTTGTTATTTCTTCTTCCGTAAAGATTTATTTCATAGTACACAATATGTTGTTCGGGCAAAGCACCAACTTCTGTTGTCTGCTGCTTTTCTTCAATTAGATGTGATGGATTGTGACCATTAATCCTATCGTTCTCGTGCAACAAGCAGACTACGAACAACCCCTTTCCCCCTTGAGGATGTTTTTAGACTGTTGTACGCCCTATCATCTATGAGGTCTCTTCATTTGGTTCCTAATATCATTTTTGAAACCTGGTCTACTATTCATTTCTCTTGAGGTTAAATGCACCATCTAAAGCCATTGTTCATGCTTTCTATGTGTTTAGCATAAAAATCAAAATATTTTGAAGTTTGTCTTTCTCTCTGAGTCTAGATCTGGCTAATTATTGCAACTCTTCATCAGGTGGACATGAACTTAGTAAGTCAACTGGGAATGCCGGTGCAAGAGTTGGCTGTGGTAATTACATTTTCTCTCTATTCCCTGAGATTTTGGTAATATCTGCATACCGGTGGTTGTTAAATTTGTCTCCTGTGTTGAGCTAGAAACATATAAATGCAGCATGTTATTAGGTCAAGTTAAATCTAAGGGATTATGTGAAGAAAAAATAGACCAACTTTAATTAGAACAAGCCTACTAAAATGACTCAAGGGTGGTACTGATTTTCAAGCTAATTAATTAGTCCTGGTAAATTGTACGGCTGGATATGAACTTGAACCTAAATTGCAGTATTCTCCAACAAAGAGCCTTAGCTTGATGTCAAGTGCCAACATTTTAGGTCCAGCTAATGACTGCTGTTTATACTTGAAGTTCCAACGTGCTACATCGATGGAGAAGTTTACCTCTTTTCCGAAATTGCAGATCTATGTTCGTCCTTATTTAGGATTTTCCCTTTTTGTTTATCTGTGGCACTAATGTCTGTTGCACCTGTCTTCTGCAGGCGTTATTGGGCTTCAGTCATCTGTTTAGTACTTGTGTTACTCGCTTCATCATGTTGCTCCTGTCAAAGTACTCGTTGTAGCTATACTTAACTTTCAGACATTCCTTACCTTTGTATATTATCTTCAGAAATTGGCATCAGTATCAGTTTATCATTAGGGCAGTAAACATAGAAACTGCATGCCTAAGAATGAGTATACATGTCTCAAAAATCCAAGAGAGAATATAATCGTTGACTAATATGATATATAGGTTGGCCAACGACATCTACTCGTGATCTTCTTATTTCAAATCGGAGCTAATTGAACCTTAAAACCTTCGCTGCGCAACTTTCCTTTTTCAGAAGTTGCCTGTTTAAGTTGGCTTTAGATATTTGTGATCTTACCTTTGTACATTTGTCCTTCCCATGTAGATCAAAGGAACGGAGCAATCCTTTTTCCTTTGTGGGGCAGTTTTGAAATACACTCAAAACGCAAGCACGAAGGGAGCTATAGGTGGAACTTGTTTGTTAACCTCTGCCAGCTAACGCTGTGTAACAGTCCCTCCGTTCTAATTTATGTGATGTAATTTGACACTATATAAAATTTAAGTAAAAAGGAAGACTCTTGAAACTTGTCATAATATGTCTGGTCACAAGACATTTGAATCTTGTGATCTTAAATGTTCTATACGTAATATTTTTGTGATTATAAAAACGTTTCCGATTAAGGGTAAAGTAATAAAATGAAAAGCTTAGTACTAAATTGTTTTCAAATATATAAATGTGTCATTCTTTATAAGTGAACTAATAAGTATGTCACATAAATTGGAATAAAGAGAGTATAAACTCCAAAGGACGTTTCTCACTACCAATAGCATCAGTTGGATGAAAAGAGATTTATTGCTATGGTGAAAGTTACCAGAAAATTTAACTCGAATTGGACAGCAGGAGCCTTGCCCATAAGAACTGAAGTTACCTCTTCGGTTGTAGAACCGCATCCTGCGAGAGTTTAGTTTCGCAGTTCTACACCCTGTTAGGATGTTTTCTCCATAGGTGATGCCCAGTTTTTTGCAGTGTCAGGATACAGTTATTCTCTGCTTTTTAAAGTTTGTTCGACCTAGTTTGGTAGTTGGAAGGAAATAACCAGTTGATGTAAGGAGGGATTATTGAGCATATCACTTGAGATAGTAGAGCGCCAAAGTGACATGTAACTTGACAGAGCTGTCGTAATATGCACTTGAGATAACATCGCTTCTTCAAAAACTGCCTTAGTACAAAGCATATAGAAAATCTAGCACACTAAAACATCAGACAGTCGAGTTGAATGAAGTTTCTCCATGGTTATTAGCTTTGCACCACAGTCGGCAATTTTCTGTCATGATTTGCGCTTGACCAAAGACCAACAAAATAAAATAATAATTTGCAATCTGAGCTCCTGCAGCTTCAATAGCAAAGAGGGCGGTTGCAAGTCTATCCTCTCAGCCAAGTATTGCGGTATGATGAATTGTCACGAAGAGAAGCATCATGGGGCTTGTATTCCATGACATAGCTACTGGGAAGCTTCAAATGTCTTTTGATTGAATCTCTGAGTGCCATCACAGCCTGGCGAAGCAAAGGGGTTTAAGCATGTTTACATCTTCACATGAAAAGAATGAGTTACATAAAGGTTAGGTATATAACCTGATGATCTGATGCATTGCGGTTCCACACACTCAATATATCTTCATTGAGACGAATACTTAAAACTGCACCACATATGTTGTCACCGTAATCAAGCTGATCACCCACCAGGGACAGAACCTAGGTAAGAGCCACACCACATTAGAAGTTAAAGCAGAATTCAAGCCGCACTACAGACCCTGATGATCTGAGGATGTACAAATTAACTGTGCAGGCGGTCACCGATCTTTCAATGTTTTGGCGATCTTGCTATCCCTATACAGCTACTAATAGTTGCTGCTATTACATTCACATCATCTAGCTAATGGTTATTTAGCCATTTTACTTCTTTTAGCTTACAAAGGAAGAAGTAACATAAATTCATCCAACAAGAATGTACACTTAAAATAAGACACTTTTCTCCATAATAATGAATTATTCGGACGGTGTAAACTGACCAAAAATTACCTAAGGTGATGGCTAATAAAATATGATGATACTCCTGATAGAAAGTAAAAAAATTAATGACACAGAGTGACTTCAGAACGATGATGGTTAAATATCCAAAAGTATCAATCTTAATACAACCTCCAACACCAACTTAAATAAATTCACAATAGCGAGTATAAGAAGTCCAAGCAAATATATGAACTCTATATATGCAAAGGACATCTTATACATGACTAAAAAAATTTGGGTAGTATACTGGGATGTTGAAAGAAATATGAAGCCGCCAGAAAGTAAAAGATAATAAGATGAGAAACACAGGTCTATGAATTACTGTCAAAAATCATCTTTCAGTGCTTATACTCTCTGGCTAGATAGCAAAATCCAATAGGGGTATCTCAGCATCCTTAGGGGTCGTGCGGTTCGCGGAAAAAGTTATCTGGGATCAATAATTCCTGGATTATTTAGTGCTATTGCTTTGTTTTGTTCATTGGATTAAAAATGGGATATACTATGTATAATCCAAGACACGTGCTTGGTTTGAAGCTGGATAAATTTCTTGTTTCCAATTTTAGCGTGAACCGACATATGGGTAAACAATAATTATTGTTGGTATTTTTGTAATAAAAATCAATCTTTACTTATCACAGAAGTATCCTAAAATAGATAAATATAGTTTGTAAATTCATGGTCTTGAGATAGCAAATGCAGCAAAAATTTCAAAGTCATCCTTTAGATTGATTAGATATAATTCTTATATCTTGAGGTGGTCGTCCTTTTTTAAGTATAAATAAAGTAGCATCAAATTTAGGTAATAGCAAAGTAAGTTTGATCAAATTTAATCTATATCTCAAGACCATTAATGAATTATCAGGGAATTCAACTTCTACATGCTAATGGCTCAAAGAACATGAATAAAGAGACCAATTTATTTTTCTCATATTCTATGTTGATGCAGCGAGAGCAAAGAAGGAGAAGATAATTCACCTCTTTCAAGCTTTATTTTTTGTCTCTCTTAGAACTGAAGAAGCTTGGCAAAAATCTTGTTGAGTGTAAGAGCAGCCGAAGAATCAGAGCGCTTTAAAATAAAAAAGCACTAAAGGGTCAATTGGTTTTGTGGCTCTTTACATACTTGTTTTAGTTTTATGATCCTACTTCTTTTTTTACACATGGGAGACTTACTTTTCCACGTAAGAGATTTGTATAAGAGATCTAAAAAGGCCATTTTCTTAAATTATAAATTGTAAAGGGGCATATGATGTAGAAATAGCACTAAATTTAATTCCAAAGTCTAAACCAGGATATCACACCTTATCCCATGAACTAAACAACCCCTTAGGCTAAAAGGCACCGGTCTATTGTGGTATTCGATTTGGATATCTGGAAAGTACTACTACTAACATCATGGACACCGTATAATTTAATTATTAGATATTATACTGCTTCTGCGCTTACTATCTTTATCTATAACACTAGAAGTCTAGTTAAATGGAATTAACATTGAGGGTGTGTTTGGTATGACGGAAAATGACTTATATTCTACAAACCATTTTCCTGAAAAATATTTTTTGGTATTTGGTTGGAGAGTAAAAAATTTTCTTGAAAAATATTTAGTAATAATCATAATAAATATTAGCAAACCAGATAGTGGTTTTAATGAAATTTTAGAGTATTAATAATTGATAATAATGTTTAAGTGTTGGTTAAAGCAATGATATGAAATTAAAAGTCAAGATAATTATGAAGGAAAAAGATTTTCCCCAGAAAATTTTAAAATGTTTTCTCGAAAATGCTTTTTTTCCCCAGAAAATAACTCGGTTTCTAGTGTTCGGTTGCTAGAATATTTTCCAGAAAACATTTTTCCGCATAGCAAAAGCACCCTAGGATACCTCACTTACCAAGTCTTCCCAGAAGCGGCCTGAAACAGCCTTTTTAAAACGAATTATCCACTTTCCACCATTGCAGTTAGCAGAATCCTTCATAAACATTAAACAATATAATCAGAAAATTAACTCAGTACGAGATGTCCATAATACAAACTTGTAATGAAATAGAAAACACCAAAAAGCAGCAGTTAACAGCATGATCACAAGATTTTACCTCCCATAATGGACGAATGCCGTCCTTGAAAAGATGCAAATCAGCTGGGCTTGGCAATGTCGATGGTCGAGCAAAGTGGCAATAGCAAACCCAAAATCCTTCAACCTACAGATAAGGAATGCAAAGTACATTTATAAAGGAGCCGAATTCAAGTACTTTTGAAAAGAAGATGGATACTTCAAGTATAAACAAATTTCTACAAATAAAATGACTTACAGTACTAAAATCAACAATTTTCTTGATATTGTCCTCGTACGATGTTTGAGTTCGAACCCCAGGTGTCCGCCTAGTGTACCAAAACACAAAATTGTGCTGATCATGAGAATGAAGAACGTTAGTACCTAGACAAACAAGAGATATTACATAATAATAGAAAAAAATGAACAATAAAACATGACAGATATATAATTGTACACATAGAATAATGTCATTATGATCCCTGTCATATTAATATCTATGGAAGAGGCCAAGTGGGCGTAACAGGGTGCTTAGTTGTTGTGCAAGTATCCTCATAGATTTTGTGCAATTTCAAATCTAGATAATCTCCTACAACTTAGGAAAACAAAAGACACCTCTGCATCACCATTATAGAAGATGAAAGAAAAGGACAGTCTGGTGCACGAAGCATCCGGTATTCACGTAGGTCCGGGAAAGGGTCGCACCCTAGGGGAGTATGATGTAGGCACCCTACTCCGCGGTGATTCCATGGCTTGAAAACGTGAAATATAGGTCACACAAAGACAACTTTACCATTGCTCTAACGCTCCCTTCATCATTGTAAAAGAGAGAAAAAAACTAAAAATGACCACATTTGTCAAAAGGGACAACTAGAACATGTCGGGTATAAAATGATAGAAAGTTGCTTGAGATGATTTGATCATGTCCTGTGTCAACCTTCAGATGCACCAATTCATAGGTGTGAAACAATGGCCAATGTTAAAACGGGATGAGGTAAACCTAAAATCACATGGAATGTAGTTGTTTCATAAGAACTACAATCTCTTGGAATCCATTTGGAATTAGCAACAAATAGGACACAATGGAAGAAAAAGACATATATAGGCAATACCAATTAGTTAGGA